CCTGATCGCTGCCTGCCCTTCCTCATCTCCACCGATGGGGACCCCAACAACTACATCAATGCGGCCCTGACTGATGTGAGAGGTTGGGGTTGGGGGTGGGCTCTGGGGCTCCCCATCCCAGCAGCATCTGGGAAGATCCAAGGGCCAAAGGAACAGAGCTGAGGGCTCTGGTGGGGGGATCCTCTGTCCTTTCCAGGGTCCCGGCCCATGGGGTGACCCTTCTATCCTCATTGGTCTTCCATTCAGGGCATTTAAGCCAGTGCTCCACTCAGGTATTGCTCTTGGCCCGAGTAGGGGTCTGGGTTGTAGAGTTCAGGCAGGGCTGTCTCCAGGATCAGGCCCAGCAGAGCCTTGGTAGGACGAGATTCAGGGAGCTTTAGCTAGGGAGGCCCAGAGGGTTTGGGATTGGAACTTGAGATCTGATGTCTAAAGCCAGGGGAGCTGGTCCTGGAGAGATTGAGTGGGAGCTTGCTCCAGAACCTGGCTTGGAATGGTGACTTGCTCCCTGGCCCAACCCTGGCCATGGTCTGAGGGCTTAGGAGCCACTTAGAAATCTCTTCCCCTGCTCCCCACTTAGGGGGCTCCACCTCCTTTACTGGCTGTTGCAAGCAGAGCAGGAGGTTGGTGCTGGTGTTTTATGGGCCTAAGATGTTGTCATCTGAGGGGGAAAGGCCGAGTGCCAGCTCACCCTCAGGACAAAGTGGGGAAGGCGGAGTGCCAGCTTACCCACAGGACAAGTCAGGAGCAGAGAGCAGTTAGTGCCTGTCACTGCCTGGGGAGCCTGGGTTGGTGTCTCAGACTCTTCGTCCATAGAGTTAGAATGAACCTAGAGATTTATTTATTCAGAAATGTTTATTGAAGTCCTACAATGTGCTGGGCACGGTCCATACTCTGTAATCTCTGCTTTCCTGAACCTTGCATTTGGGGAGTTGGGTGGAATAGTCAATAAATAAATATACAATAGAATGTCACATGCTGGAAATTTCTACAGAAACAACTAGGTAGGTTAGTGTGGATTTTAGGTGTCTGGGTGGCTATTTTTGATGAGGTGGTAAGGGATAGCCTCTTTGAGGAGGTGACAATTAAGCAAAGACCAAAAAGAAGTAAGGGAGAGCCATGCAAACATTTGGGAAATTGGGTCTAGGCAGCAGAAATAGCATATGTAAAGGCCCCGAGGCAGGGAGCAAGCTTGGCCAGCCTCTGCCCACCACGCCCAAGCTCCCATTGCCACACATTTGGGGACCTTTTGCTGTTAGTTCCCAGGGGCTCACCCTGTCAACTCAGGCCTCAGTGTGCTGGCCAACCTCTGCAATGGGCCACTGGAGGCAGCCTGGTGCTGTGGGACACAACCGTCCAGCTCAGTGTTGGGAGGATGGGAGGACAGCGTGTGCTAGTGGCTTGGCCCATGTCAGGGGCCATGGACAGGGCCCTGCTGAGTCCTGGTTTCCCTGCAGAGCTACACACGGAGCGCGGCCTTCATCGTGACCCTGCACCCGGGAGGATGGGAGGACAGCGTGTGCTAGTGGCTTGGCCCATGTCAGGGGCCATGGACAGGGCCCCACTGAGTCCTGGTTTCCCTGCAGAGCTACACACGGAGCGCGGCCTTCATCGTGACCCTGCACCCACTACAGAGCACCACACCCGACTTCTGGCGGCTGGTCTATGACTACGGGTGCACCTCCATCGTCATGCTCAACCAGCTGAACCAGTCCAACTCTGCCTGGGTGAGGGTCCCACTGGCTGGGCCAGCTGCCCACCTGCTTAAGAGCATGGCCCCCAAAGTCAAGAGCTGGATCCCAGCTCTGCCATCTTTTTGTCCTATGACCTTCGACGAGTTGCACTCCCTCCCAGAGCCCGAGTTTCCTCATCTGTAAAATGAGGCTGTTAGAGTGGAGAAAACTAGCTGCTCTTTACTGAGCACCTGCTTTAAACCAGGGTCTCTGCTTCACACTTATGGTCTTATTTACAGTCTACAACAGCTGTGGGGTGAGGGCTTCAGGTGAGAAAATTAACACAAGTAAGATCCAAAGAGGTGAAGTGCCTTCTCCAAGGTCAAATAGCTGGGAAGTGGCAGAGCTGTGCCCTAAACCCTGGGCTTCCTCATCCCAGAGCTGCTTTTCAGTTGCTCAACTCAACTGCCAGCATGGGGGCCTTCAAGGTAGAGTAAATCCAAAGCTCCCACTTTCTGACTGTTTGATCTAGGGTAAGTTAATTTACCTCCTTAAGCCTGTTTCCTTTTCTGTAAAAGAGAAAGTCACAAGACCCGCTCTTATGGGATTATTGTGAGGACCAGGTGAGATGTGCATAGGAGGCTTAGCACTGTGCTATGCCCGGCACATAGTAGGTGCTCGGTATATGAGGGATGAAGATATTGAGGCTGACAGTCACTTCTGAGGTTGGGCCAGACACTGGCTTGGTGCCTCAGCCTGGGGGCAGCCCCTCTGATTCCTCCCATTTTCTTTTGGGGCTGCAAAGGCTGGAGCTCCTGGGAAGTGAGATGCACAGCCTTCTGTCCCAGCCTGACCATGTCCACTAGATCTCTGGACCCCCTCCCACCCCAGCTCTCTGCCCCAGGCAGCCAGGAAGATTTGCTGTAAAATGAACACAACAGCCTCTTAACAGCTGCCTGGAGAAGACTTTGTTAACTGGGCTTTTTATGAGTCAGGCACTTGGTGTAAATGACACAGGACTGCAAGGTAATGGGCTCCAGCCCCTGGGTGGGGATCTGGACCGAATCCCAGTTGTGGCAGGAACCCACCCTTGCTAAGGTGGTGAGGAAGTGCCCAGATGGAGCCTCACACAGACATCAGTCACTGGTCATTGATTTGCTCAGCCATTCAAGAACTTTTCCCATGGACTGCTCCCTGCTAGGACCCTGCAGTAGACAGTGGGGAGACAGAGGGAGAAGACGCAGCCCTTCCCCTGCCACATCTCACAGTCCAGAGGGAAGCAGGTACCAAAGCTGACAGTGACAGCACAGAGGGTAAAGTGTTGTCACGGAGCTGGCATAGGGACGCAGAGAAGCCTGGCAGATAGCATATCAGGGAGGGCTTCCTGGAGGAAGTATTGTCTGAGCTGAGATGTGTGGAAAGTTTAGTGTTAACTAGCTGAAGTGATGGGGAAGAGTGATCCATGGAGAGGGAACAGCAGGTGCAAAGTTCTGAGTGCAAGGAGTTGCCAGGACCCCAGGCAAAAAGAGGAAGGTAGTAACCTCTCCTCACAGGACTGTGGTCAGAGAGGGAAGCAGGTGGAGTGTGGTATTGTTTGGGAGGAGCTTGGGGGCCATTTTACAGTTGGAGAAACTGGGCTCCAGGCAGAGCTGAGACTAGCAGCTGGGGCTCTGGGCCTGTGTGTGTATGTACGTGTGTGGGGCTGCGTCTCCTCTGGCGCTCCACTGTCTTGAGTCTGTGGTCTGGGAAAGGGACATATGTAGTACTCTGACTCCATGGAGGGGTCCTGGGGCAGGAGTAGGGGTGCTGAGCTGTGTTGCAGCATCAGGGACACCCCCACCTCTGTGAGGTGGTGCTGAAGGGCAGAGGCAGTGAGAGAGAAGGCCGGGGAGGGGAGGCAGTTCCAGTGTGGGAGGGGGTGATCTAGGCCTATCCCTGGAAGAAGGCAGCCTCCCCAAGGTGCGTGCGTGTGAAGGTGTAGATTTCTAGCTGCACGGCAGTGGGCATCACTGCACCGTCTGTGAATGGTTTATCTTGGGGTGTGGGAGGGGGTGATCTAGGCCTATCCCTGGAAGAAGGCAGCCTCCCCAAGGTGCATGCGTGTGAAGATGTAGATTTCTAGCTGCACGGCAGTGGGCATCACTGCACCGTCTGTGAATGGTTTATCTTGGCTTCTCTGAACGCATCAGTGCAGAACGCTTTGGGGCAGGTGTACACTGCAGTCTGTTGGGTGAGTGGTGGAGAGCAGGGGGGATGCTGAAGGTGAGTCTGGAGTGAGGGAGTGGGCCAGGATGCGTGGGAGCCTCAGGGCAAGTGTGGAGCCCTAAGGGTGGGTAGGGCTGTGGGGTGATCCCCAGCCTGGGTCTACTCAGTTCTCTGTCTGTGCCTGTGCCCCCAGCCCTGCCTACAGTACTGGCCAGAGCCAGGCCGGCAGCAGTATGGCCTCATGGAGGTGGAGTTTGTGTCAGGCACAGTGGATGAAGACTTAGTGGCCCGAGTTTTCCGGGTGCAGAACATTTCTCGAGTGAGTGGTCTGGGAGCCCCAGGGTGGGTGGTGGCCGGAGCAGGCTTTAATGACCCTCTTGAGGTCATCAGGGGGCCACATGACCCCGGTACTCACGTGCCCCTGGCTGGCTGCCTATGCCCCCAGCTGCAGGAGGGGCACCTGCTAGTGCGGCACTTCCAGTTTCTGCGCTGGTCTGCATACCGGGACACACCTGACTCCAAAAAGGCTTTCCTGCACCTGCTGGCTGAGGTGGACAAGTGGCAGGCAGAGAGCGGGGATGGGCGCACCATCGTGCACTGCCTGTGAGTGTCCACCCTGCGGGAAGGAGGATGGAGGGGGCAGGGAGCCAGGGGCAGAGGTCCAGTCTGAGAGAGGGCCTTAAACCTGGCACCAAAACCCCTGGGATCCCAAATGGCAATGCCTGAACTATGCCCAACCAGCTGAGGCTGGCCCTGTCTTCCCTGGAGGAACCCAATCAGTTTCCAGAGTACATGGTCAACCCTGAACAACTGCCCAGTACCCTCTTTGTGATGTCTGACTTTGCCAATTTAATTAGAGTCTTTTGTCAGAATTTTTCACCCTGTGAGGTTGTAGTACTTTTTATGCCAAGGGAATTCCAGTCTTTGTTCATGCATGCCCATGTGAAACTCTTTTCATTCATGCAATTCATATGCTTACATGCATGCCCCCATTGATAAATTCATCTATTCCCTCGTGTCTGGGTGCCGTTACCCCTCTGCTCCCCACTTTTTCATGCTTTTTGCACTTACTGAGCCTTCCCAGTGCCAGGCTGGGCATACTGGAAGCTGGGATAGGGAGCTGAGTCAGTCTGGCTCTGCCCTGAGGCCTTTTGGTTCTAGTGGGAGAGACCCCTCAAGAAGGGGGTGGAGGGCCTAGTCAGTCTCCCGTCCCGCAAGGGGAACCCCACATGTGGGAGTCATAGGGAACAGAAGGAGAGACATGGAGGGAACGGGAGGGTCTCTGTGCAGGTTTGGCTTGGTGTGTATATGTGTCTGTGCCTTGTGTGTGCGTTGATGGGGCCCTGCCTGGGCTTCTCAGTGTTCGTTTCCCATCTTGCTCTCCGGATTTTTGCTTTCTTCTCAGCTGCCCTTCTCTGTTGCTGTCTCTGCCTCTCAGTGTCTTTCTCTTGGACTGTGTCTGGCTTCCTTTCCCTCAGAATCTGAGGGATTGTTTTCTGAGATGCCATTAGGTTTTGGATGTGAGACTGATCCACCTCCTTAACCTTCTGGTCCTGAGCTCTGAACCCCGTTCTCAGCTGCCGGGCCCCGCCCCTCACCTCTGGACTCTCTGCCCCTCCCTTCTCGGTTGCCTAGCTCCGCTCCCACCCCCAGGGAACCTAGCCCCGCCCCTCACCCCTGGGTAGTGACCCCATCCTCCTCCTTCCTTTTGGTTCCCACGCCCCGTCCCCCATTTCGGATTCCCAAGCCCCATTCCAAACCTTTTGTGTCTCTTCATTTAGAAATGGGGGTGGCCGCAGCGGCACCTTCTGCGCCTGCGCCACCGTCCTGGAGATGATCCGCTGCCACAGCCTGGTGGACGTTTTCTTTGCTGCCAAAATGCTTCGGAACTACAAGCCCAATATGGTGGAAACCATGGTGAGGGGCTGTGTCCCTGTGCCCAGCCACTTCCACCTTCCTGGTCCATGACTGGCCAGGGTCCCCAAGCACCTGCTCTCCCATGTCTGGTCCCCACCATTGGGCCTTGGCTCTAGTCCTATTGTGTCAAAACACATTTCCTCCCTTGCCCTCAGGGTGGGCCAGGGCTCATGCTTGCCCTCTCTTTTCTTCCCGGTCCATGACTGGCCAGGGTCCCCAAGCACCTGCTCTCCCATGTCTGGTCCCCACCATTGGGCCTTGGCTCTAGTCCTGTTGCGTCAAAACACATTTCCTCCCTTGCCCTCAGGGTGGGCCAGGGCTCATGCTTGCCCTCTCTTTTGCCTCTCAGCTCCCCAGTACCAGGGAGGGCTCAGGGTCCTGATTCCTTCTCTCTCTCTCTCCCCAGGATCAGTACCACTTTTGCTACGATGTGGCCCTGGAGTACCTGGAGGGGCTGGAGTCAAGATAGCAGGGGCCCCTGGCCTGGGGCACCCACTGCACACTCAGGGCCAGGTCCACCATCCTGGACTGGCGAGGAAGACCTGTGCTTCCAAGTCTGCTCAACCACGGCCCCCACGGGGAAAGTGCTGGAGTGGATGCTGGGCCATCTTGGTGTCCCCTTCATGGGGGGCAGGGCCTTTTGTTATGTCCCATAGGCAGGCTGTGGGCCAAGGAGGAGCTTAGCAAGACTGCAGCCCCACCCCACCTCCACAGGGTCCTGCAGCCTGTACTGAGAGGCCTGGCACTGCCTGGTAGAGCGATGGGGGCTCAGAATGGCCAGCTCTGGGGGACGCAGGCCAGGCCCCTTGATTCCATCTCAGCCCTTGGCAGAGATGAGTGAGGCCCTGCAGAGAGCATCCTAGGCCAGGGTTTCCACTCGGCTCAGCTCCCTCTGCACATGGGTGCATTGAGGCTTGGCATCTAGAATCCCATTTGGCCTAGCTGCTGAGGGTCCTGGGGAGGCTGGGCTCTGCCCTAATTTGCTAGTGAGACACATTGACTGTCCTCCCCAGGGGAACTACAGCGCCTTCCTCCACCCAACTGTCCCTTGCAGCCCCTGGGGTATTTGGCTCCCCATCCCACCCTGTTTCTGCTTCCCTGGCATGTGCTCTGAGTTTTCTGAACCAGCATCTGCCCATTCGTGCTGTGGCCCACGTGGGGCTGCTTCCCTGCCTGAGCAATGCCTGCAGAATGAAGTCACCTCAGCCTCTATTCCTGTAACCTTCAGGCCTTACTGGCCTGGTCCTGCTCAGCTTGGGCCAGTGACAGTCTGCAAGGTTGAACAGCATCCCTTGGGTTGAGGTCCCTGTGGCTCCTGGCCAGGCTGCCCACTGGGCAGGGGGCAGAGCCAGAGGAGGTCTGGTCACATGCCTAGAGTTCAGAGGAAGAAAAGGGGTATTTTGGAAGGAGGATCAATGCTTTTTTATTTTGTTATTTTTTGATGGGTGGGTGGGAAGTTCTCTTTAAAATGGGGCAGGCTACACCCCCGTTCTGTGCCTCAATTTCCCCATCTGTAAACTGTAGATACGACTACTGACCTACCTCACAGGGGGCTGTGGGGAGGCATAAGCTGATGTTTGTAAAGCGCTTTGTAAATAAACATGCTCTCTGAATGCTACAGAGCGGCCCTGTGTATGTCTGACCAGCCTGCCTGGGGACTGCTCGCCTATGCTTGGCCTCCCAGTGCGGTGGGCCATGGACTGGGGGTCAGAGACCTAGATTCCAGTCTGGCTTTGGTTTTTCCGTTGGTAAAAGGGAGGAGATGTAGACCTTGCAGGGCATTGCTCAGTGTTCCAAGGGACTCTGGCCATTGCTGCCTTCACCCAGGCTCTGAAGCAGTTCCTCAGGCAGTGGGCTTCATCTTGAGACCCCTGAGGCCACAGAGCTGCCTCTCATCCACCAGGCGCCTGGATCAGGGTTGAGCTCTTTCTGGGGCAGCCTGGGAGGCTCAGGCTTTGGTGTCAGACCGATGAGCCCCACTAGTGGCGAGACCCTGGGTGAGTCAACTGCCCTCTCTGGGCCTCTCTTTCTCATCTGTACCATGGAGAATTCCTGTTAGGATCAGATGAGATAGTGATTAAGGGCCATCTGTGGTGCCATATATGCAAATAAGGCCCAGTTTACAGACACATGGCAGAGACAGGACAGAGGAGATGCACCCTGCTGGGGATGATGGTCCAGCTGCCCCAGCCCAGCTGTTCCCAGCCCCAGGCTTCCCCATGGGGTGGATTGGAAGGAGGAGTGGGCTAGCTGATAGGGACCCTACTCACTCCTGGCCCTGTCACAAATTTGCTGTGTGACTTTGGAGAAGACAGTTCCTGTTTCCAGGCCTCGATTCCCTCAAATGAAA